GTGGCAGAGTCCCCTTTCCAAATCAGCTTTAGGATCCCGGTATCACATCCTGCCGTACCTGCGTGTCTAGGCCTGTCTGGTGGGTGTGGCTTGAGAAGCCTGGCTGTGCATGTCCAGAGCCTCTTGGGACATTGTATTGCAGCCTCTTGTATGTAATGCTTTGTCTGCAGGCCCTTGCCCTGTCTGTGGGACCCGCGCTTGGAGTTTGCCAACCTGTTCCCTCCATGCAACCAGCCTGCTCTCACACTGCTTCCCATTTCTAAGCAGAGCCCAGCATTTCCAGCCCCTGCCCCTCCAATACCATCCTGCCTTCTGCTCACCTCTGTAGCCCAAGGAGCATCTGGACAGCTTTTGCGTCCTTTTCTCTTTTCCTCTTGAGGACTTTTTTCTTCTGCTTCCCCTTGCTCTGGTTCCTCAGGTTTTTCACTGCCTCCTGGTTACACAGTGTGAGTGTGGCTCGCGTAGTGCGAGTGTGAATGTCCCGCACATCTGTCTTCCCCTGGGCCTGTGGGCATCTAGGTCACTCCACTCTCCTCTCCATGGACCAAGGCACTCCTTTCTTCGCTGGTTTTGTCCTCTGCCGTAGCCAGGTAGGTAGCAGTGCCTTGGCTCTGTGGTGTGTGGACCTGTAGCCCATGTCTGCCATGCCAGCTGGCACCTAGCTAGCCTGCCGCAGGTGCCAGAGGAATGTGCAGGGCCCGGTACCTGCTGGCTCACCTGAGGTCTTCCCATCTGCCTCCTTCCACACACTCTTCCTCCTACACCCTCTGGATGAGGTCTGGGATGTCTGCTGCACTCTGCTACCAGCCCCTGCAGGCAACCCTCTTCCTAGGCCTGGACCCCGCCCAGCGCTCTCTCTGCTCGGACACCAGTGTCCTGAAGTCTCAGAAGGTTTATGTGAGCTGTTCCTTCCCCTGCAGTCGCCTGGGTGGTGTTTGATGCCTGCTGGTTTGCAGCACCTTATGCTAGCAAGCCATGCAGCAGGTGTGTGTCTCTGTGTGTGTATGTGTGGGGAAAGAGAGAGAGAGGAGCTGGGAGGAAACCATTTTTGTGCTTAGGACTTCATTGAAGCTCTGCAAATGCTCTGGAATGCCCTTACTACCCCATGCTCTGAACTGCAATTTAGTCTGGCCCTGTCCTGTAGGAAACCTGGGGACCTCTTCTGCCTGGGAGCAGCCTTTGGGCCTGCTGCTGCCTGGCCTCATCTGTAAGACTGTGCATTCCTCTGACGTCTAGTTTTGCCCTCCAGGGTGGATGAAATGGGTCTTGTTCTTAAGACACGGTCTGGGGACTGGGGAGATGGCTTACCAATAAAGCATCTGCTATACAAGCATGCAGACCTGAATTTGGGTCCCCGGAACCCACAAAGAGCTGGGCACAGTGCTGCATCTCTGTTAGGCAGAGACAGTCAGGTTCCAGGGTTCACTTGCTTTCTAGCCTGGATAGAGAGAGACTGTCTCAAAAACAGAAGTGAAGAAAGTGGAGAGAGCTTGAGGGAAGCAGCATGCGGACTAGATCTCCGGTCTGCACAGGTGGTCACAGAGGGAGGGGCTGTGGGAATGAATGGGGGGTGTGGGTGGGCTGTAGCGCAGTGGTAGAGTGCCTTCCTGGCATGTGTGAAGCCTTGGGTTACATACCTAAGATTCCTGAGGGGACACTTTCATGTTGGGAAGGGGCAGGCAAAGCATTTTCTTTCCAATCTGAAATTTTCCAACTCAGGTTTCCTCCATACCCCTAAGACTCTACCCATTCCTGTGGTGTGTGAGGCCTTCCACAGGGTGACCTAGGTGCAGAGCTGACTGTGTACCTGTGCCTGCCCTCCTTAGGTCTCAGAGCCTAGCTGCAGGGTAGAGGTTGGCAGCAGGCACAGCTCAAGAGACAGCAGTCTCGCTGTCCAGTCCTGCTGCCTGGTTCTGTGACACTGAGCCCTGATGCTCAAAGTCCTAGCAAAGTGGCTGCTTTGGCATGCCCTTGGGTTGGTTTGCATCTGAGCTGGGTGGCTCCTGAAGCTGCAAGGGGAGCGGTGTCCCCAAACTCCAGCCTTGGGTTTGACAGTCTTCCTGCAAGGCTCCCCTGAACGCTGTGTCGAGGACAGTTTAACAGAGTGGTCCCAAGCCCCCCGTCCCACCCTGCCTGTGTGTGCCGTGTCACCTGAAAAGTTGCCTTACCATGCATCTGTCTCTGCTTGGCTCTTAGGTAGCAGAGCGAATGCTGCCGCTCTAATTAAATTACCCACTTTGGAGCAGTGATTTAAGGCGCTTGAGAACCTCCCCACCTGAATTCAACGATTTAAGAGTCGATTTCACAGTCCTTGATTATTAAATTGGTCTATGAATAGTTTTCAATTGAACTGGAACTCAAAATAGCCTCTTTATACGTCTGTTTCCCGTGAATATTTGCTCTTATCTTGCCTTTGGGGCTGTGACGTACCTAGGGTGCAGGTGGCAGTCGGCTGCTTCTCAGTCAGGCTAGGGGACAGCGCTGGGCATGCTGAGATTGCATGGAAGCCGAGCCAGTGTCCTCGATGTCGCGTGGTTGGTTGGCTCTGTCCTCTGTGGTCATGTTGGTGGCCCAGAGCAGAGTTCCTGGTGACGCCTCGCAGGACCAGGGGCCTCACAGGCCTCTGCTGAAGTTTCATAAATGTGTGACTTTGATTCACTTTCAAATTACACTTCAGCTGTTTAAATGATTTTACTGAGTTATAATTTACGAAATCCTGTATTCAGTCAGATGTGAAATAGACATATTTGCAGGGGCGTCTACCTGACAAAAGCGTTATCCGCCACCCTTGCGAATTCAGTTTTTCTTGAAATTGTGTAATCAAAGCAAACAGAAATAATTGGTTGCAGGAGTAATCTGAGCTGCAGGTGCCTCTCATAGGCCCACCCCCAGTCTGCACGTTTTCAAAGTAGCTTCAGGGTTCTGGTCACGGCCACTTTGCACTAGTGTCACACAATCACCTGATAACAGAAATCCTGACGCCCTGCTTGTGTGTTTGTGTGTGTGTGTGTGTGTGTGTGTGTGCGTGTGTGTGTGCGCGCGCGCGCGCGCGCATATGCGTGTTTGCCCATCTGCCTGGCCGTGTCTGTGTGGGTCCACATCTGCATGGCACATATGTGGAGGGCAAGTATATAACCTCCGCCATCCGCCCTTGGCTTAGACAGGGTGTCATTGGCCTGGGACATGGTCAGGTAGTCCAGAGAGCCGGCCAGCATGCTCGCAGGGTCTAGCTGCCTGTCTCTGCCTCACGTCTTTCTCAACATCACTGGCTTGCAGGTGTGCTCTGCTATGCCCCATTTATTGGGTGGGTGCGGGCATCCAAACCCTGGTGCCTGTTCTGTGAGACAAGCACTTCATCAACTGAACTGTCGCCCCACCCACATGTGTCCGCCTGTGAGGACTTTGCGGATTCCCTTCGGGAAGAGGTCTCTGCCGTTGGCAGGGAACACAGCTCGCTCCTCTTGTCACGTCATCACCAGCCTGCAGAGCGCCGTCTTGGTTGGTGGCGTTGGTTAGTCCCTTCCCGCCCGCTCCTATCGTCTGATCTCTTTGTCCTTCTCCAGGTACACTTACAAGATGGGCTTCAGCCCAGGGCACGGGAGAGGGGCTTATTGTTCGGATACTTGGCGGGATTGGTGCCCTTGCTGTTCTGGGGCTTGCCATGTACTCTGAAGAACCAGTGGCAACAGAGGCTGCACTGGGCAGCTGTGGGACTGGTGGGATGTAGTAAGGGTGCTTTCCGAGGGTCTTTACCAAAATGCTTGAGGTCAGGCTGGGAGTGGCTAATGGCCCTTCCCGGCCTCAGTCCAGAGACCTGGGCCTCTAACGTTCGCAGAGAAAATTGGCCAAATTGTGAGGCTATTAGGACAATGCTACTGAGTCAAGGAGGCCACATGGATGCAGTAGGAAAGCAGATGTTGTAAAAGGAAGCCAGGCTTGGTGGCACAACCTGCAACTCTGGTTTCTCAGGAGAATGGAATGAGATTACAAGCGCGAGTTCTTGAAAAGTTAAGGAAGGCTTGTCTTAAAATAAAAACTCAAAAGAGGACTGATGGTATGTCTTAAGTGGTAGACCCTCTGCCTAGAATCCCACAGTGAGAGGCTGGGGTGTGGCTCAGTGGTAGAGCCCCTGCCTAGAATCCCCCAGTGAGGGGCTGGGGTGTGGCTCAGTGGTAGAGCACCTGCCTAGAATCCCCCAGTGAGGGGCTGGGATGTGGCTCAGTGGTAGAGCCCCTGCCTAGAATCCCCCAGTGAGGGGCTGGGTTATGGCTCGGTGGTAGAGCCCCTGCCTAGAATGCCCCAGTAAAGGGCTGGGGTGTGGCTCAGTGGTAGAGCAGCTGCCTAGAATCTCCCAATGAGAGGACAGCATGGTCCAGTGACAGAGGTCTTGCTTAGTATGCCTGAGGCTTTGGCTTCAATCCTTTATACTGCAAAACCACGTACATGCATACATGTGTAAATAGAGACAGGGAATACAGGGGAGGTCAGATGCCATTGCCTGGGCCTGTCCTGATATCTGTCGTTACATGGCAGGCCTAGCACCTCATGTGAGGCAGGACTTTCTCCTTCAGAAAGTCTTCAGGCCCAGTGCCTGTTTGGTGGGTGGGGGTGGGGGTGGTGGCTGTTCTCTGCACCCACTCTGTGCTGCACATCTGTGCCGACTGTGACTCACATGGGAAGTGCTTGCGCTGGCAATTTAGCTCATTCAGAAGTGCCGTCCTGAAGCGCCTGTGGCTGACAATCTTTCTCCCATTGTGTGTGGAGTTGCACTTCCCTCCCCCTCGCACCGTGTTCTGGGATCACCCTGGGTGTCTTTGAAATCCAGAACCTCCTGAAAGGCACTAAGTAGCTATTCAGGAGCGAGGAAACGACAGCGAGGTGTCTGCACGTGCAGCTCTATTTTAGGATACCCCTGTGGGGTACACAGTGGGGGATGCGTCCCCAGTCCTGGGGATGTTCATGCCAGGCCTCATGGCTCTAACCTCTTACCTTCCCTGCAGTGCCCGGGGTCTGGAGAGGGCCCAGCAGCAGCTCCAGGATGAGGTCCGGCAGGTCAGTGCACAGCTGCTGGAGGAGAGGAAGAAGAGGGAGACACACGAGGCGCTGGCTCGAAGGCTCCAGAAGCGCATCGTCCTGCTGACCAAGGTACAGCCCTCCCAGCACGCCCACGCCTGGCCTCCTCTCTCGGCCGCCCATGTTCATCTAGACCTCTGTGAAGTTGTTGCCTGTCTGTCCTCACATCTTGAGCGTGGATCCCACTTCTCCTGGTGTACAAGCCAGGCACCGTTCGGACCTTCCCAGCTCCAGGCTGTAGTGGAACAGGTCAATTAGGCTGTGCCCACTTAGTCCAGCTTGGAGGACAGTCTTTTGAATGGCAGAAAGAGTCATTCAGTGCCCAGAGCGGCAGTGTAATCCTAGAACTTAGGAGACTGAGGCAGGAAGGGACATTGTTAATGGAAGGCCAGTCTGGACTCTGTGCCTTGACCCTCTCAAAACAAAATCCAAAAGAGTTTTCTAGATTCAGCCTCTCCATGTGCTGACCTGAGCTGGCGCAGCGTTCCGGGGGAGTGTTCTGTAGGCTGGCCTTCCTCAGTGGTGGCTAGCCCTCCCGCCCTTTGCTGCCAGCAGCAGCAGAGGAAGCTGGGGTGGGCCTCGTCCTGGCGCAGAGCGAGCATGGCCGCTGGTCCCCAGTGTACAGAGCTGATGCTGTGCTTCCCAGCAGAGTGATGCGCTCTCCCGGTGCCCAGGCCTCTCTCAGCTTGCTGGCTTGGGGGCTCTCTGACGTTGTATGCCATAGTGGTATCTTCAGGTATGAATGGAGGCTCCTAATGAGTGTTGTGGAGAGCATCTCCTGGACTCTGGGTTTCCAAAGCACAAGGAAGGACAAGCTGGATTCGCCTCAGGGTACTCAGCAGTAGGGAGTCCATCTTACTAGGTGGAGGCCCACTCTCACCTCGATGGGGTGTGGTGGGCATGAGGCCTAGGAAGTTGGTGTACCAAAAGATCCAGGGCGTGTGTGACCAGCTCTGTGCTTGGCGGTGTCTGATGGAAACCTGAGTCTTTGCTGCTGGTACTTCAAGTTAGGACTCTGCTCCAAAGCGAGCCATTCTTCTACTACTTCCCACTTCAGTTTCTCAGCTTCCCCTGAGAGCCCGGTGCCAGTCCCTCAGCGTCTTGTAAAAAGGAGATCTGGCATTTGTGTTAGCCTGAGGGGCAGGGCTGAGCCCTCTCTTCAGACCCCAGGGTCCCTGCAGGTGGCCCTGGAAAAGAGGTGACTAGACCGTCGTCTCATAGCAGCTTAGGCCCACCATTGTGCCTTGGCTGAGAAGATGCTCAGCTGTTGGCATTGTTCCTCTCTGGGCCTCAGCATCATCCTTTGCTGCCCAGCACCTGTCATTGTGAATCCCATGTGATGGGAGTATGTGGTCATGGCCCTCAGGCTTGACAGTGCAGTGGGAAAGCAGCAGGGCGCTCAGCCGTCCACTCAGCAGCCCTGACAAAGACAAACACTGCTGTGCGCACTGACATGGAGAAGCTGTCGGAGGTGAGGCTTAAGCAAAGACCCAGAGGATTTACTGTTTACCAGAGCATGTGAAGAGAACTGGCCCTGTCCCCGAAGAGGCTTGGTCCAGGGAAGATGGCTGTCGGAGAGCTGCCAGTGATGCCAACATGCAGGTGCATGGTGCCAGCAGGAGGTGGGCGCCCTGGTCTGCTGGCCCGTGGGCAGCTCGGCACAGTGCTGGTGCAGGGTTTGCCCGCGCTGGTGGCATGGGAAGACAGCTGGCTGTGGGAAAGCTCGAAGAGTAGGCGGGGCGGGGGTCTGCTTGATAGACCTGCGTCCTGTGACCCAGGACCTCCACACTGTGTGATAAAAAGAAAGAGACGGGTGCTGGGAACCTGATTGCTCCCTGCTGTCTCAGGACCGTAGCGCAGACTCCGCAGTAGTCAGCTCAGCAGGATGGTCCCCAAGTGCTCCTGGTGCGCTGGGGAGGTGTTAGTGCAGCCGCCTCCTCACGCTCCCGCCAGCCCAGCAGCCAGGTCTTTGTCTTGTCCAGGGAGGCTCTGCAGTGCAGGCCCAGGAGGTGGAGCCTGGGCATTGTTCGGGGGAGACTGAGTCAGCACATGCCTGTTTCATGCTTCCAGCCTGTCTTGCCCCGCCGGCCAGCCCCTGGAATTCCATAGTTTGTCCATCTGCCACACGCTCTGGCTCCTTGGAGAAATCCCTCTGGGGCCATAGCTGTTTCATCTGCTTCTGGAGAAGTCCGTGGCATGATCTGGGTGTGTGTGGTAGAGTTCCGATACGTGTGCCCCACATGGTCTGGGCGTTTTTTTGTGGGCTGGGCTCTGTAGCATTCCCACGTCTGTGCACTCAAGTGGTCGGTGTATCCCTGTGGGCTGGCTTATCCCGTGGCTGCTGTGGCCGCTGCTGTGTCACAGTGCTGATGCAGCGTGGCCTCTGTTGAGCTGCCGTGCTTCTGTGAACAGATCCTGCGAGGCTTGTGCCTGGTGTCCTGTGTGGGTGCCTCTACACCTAGGGCTCCACGTCAGGAAATTTCTGCTCTCCTCTCAGAACGTGAAAAGCGGATGGCTCTCTGGTCCAAACTGGCCTCCCCCTGACCTCTGCTGCACTCCTGGCCTCACTCTGATGGAGTGGGAAGGTGGCTATTGATTACTCAACACTGACTGATTATCTATACCAGCTGTCCCTCCGGGAGATGCAATGGATCAATAGCCATTGCCTTCCCGGCCCTGGGTCTGGGATGTAGGGATTTGACTTGCGAGCCAGCCGGAATGATGCAACCATTCATTAGGCTGGTCTGGCAAGGCTCCAGGGGCGTTGCCACCTGATTTCATAGGCCTGGCATAATGTCCCCTGCTGGTGCCTGGTGTCTTGGACTCCTGCCTGGCTTAGCTGTGGTGGGGGCGTGTCCACTCTTCGCTGCTCCGTGGGAGCTCAGTCTGTGGGACTGCCCACCTCTGCCTGTCCTTGCCTCTGTGCACCTCCAGCCCATCCCCCTGAGGGGATGATGTGGGTCCTGTCCAGCGCCCGTCTGCATGACCCTGGAACTGGCTGTGGTGCTCCGCCTTGGCATCCCCTCCAAGGGGCCTCTTTGCCTGCTTCACATTTTAGTTTACAGGGCTTGGCATGCACAATTTTGTCTCGAGACCTTTATTAAGTGGCTCCAGTCTAAGGAGTTAATTGTTACTGATAGCTAAGAGTATAATTACCTTGGTAAAATATCATGACTATTTTAAGCAATTGAAAATTGGCTTCTGGCACTGGGTGAACACAAACCATTTTCCTATTTGAGACATGCTATTTCCAGTGTGCACTAATATTCTACACCATAGTTGCAGAACCCTATTTATAGAATGTAAGCAAGATTTTTATTTTTATTTTTATTTTTATTTTTATTTTTATTTTTATTTTGATTTTGATTTTGATTTTTGATGGAAGAAAGCCTTCCACTTTCCCCATTTGGTTGCCCAAGGTCCCCGTGAGAGCAGTCACTAGGGACACACATTCTAGAAAGCAGGGCTGGAAGGCGGTGGCTTTCTGCGCCTTTGGTGGCCACTTTCATCTTCTTATATGGTACTTGCAGAGGCCATTTGGATGTCGTGGTGATGTCCTGTCTTGGAACCCCTCAAATTGTCTTGCCCTTGTCTCTCATTTGCCTGGAGCTTGACTTCGTGGTGAGTCCCCGAGACTCTGCAGGCTCAGCTTCTCCAGCTCTAGGGATGCAAACAGGAACCACTACATGGCTTTCTCATGTGGGTTCTTGGGTTCTAACTCAGGACTTCATGCTTGTCAGGCCAGCACTTGACCAGCTCAACTGGCTCCCCAGCCCTGGACTTTGCCCACTGAGGGACAAGTGCTTTGCATGCCGAGGAGTGAGTGGTTTACACCTGCTTTAAGCAAGTTCCCGGAGTAAGTTCCTGGGAGGTGAAGGCTGTCTGTCCTTTGAGCTTTGTTCTTTCCTGTGAAATGTTGTCTGAGTCAGGATTCTCCACAGACCCAGTGTGTCAGGGCCTCTGCTGTGGCAGGATCATGAGCTGGCAGGCACTGCGCCCTGAGGTGCCGCCCACAGCAGTGGCTCCAGCGTGGCATCCATCCCCAGAGGCCAGCAGCGGGCTTGGCCACAGCACCTGCCTCTTCTAGTACTTCTGTGAGCTCCCAGCGCACAGGAGGGATTCTGGGCCTCCTCCTCCACCAGAAGCCCAGAAGCCTGGTGCGCTTCCCTCCACTCCTGACCTGCGGGGGTCATGACTTGTCCCTCCTGTGTGTGGCACTGTATGATTCACGGACTGCTCCTGTGAGAAAGCTGGAGACCAATGCCACGTGTGGACTCCTGTGGCCCCGGGAGGACTATGGGCAGGAAATGGGTGCCATGTCCAAGGGTCTGGGAACCTGGTGAAGGCTGGGGAGCAGTGTGGTGCTGGGCGGAGGCTCACCAGGCTGCCTTGCTCAGCACTTGCTTTGGAGTGACTTGATTCCCTGCCTGCTGGACCTCTGTCGAGAGGTCAGAGGCCACATACCTGTGCTCCATAGACATAAAGGGAAGCACCATGTGCTCAAATTCTTGTTTGTCGTAATGTGCCAGTGTTGCCAGCTTTCTGCTTGGAGACCTCCTACAGGGGACAGCACTCCTGTGCTCAGCGCTGGGCAGGGCCCAGTCTGCAGATGTGCACCATGGCAGTGGCAGGCTCCCTGGCTACCAGACCCTGTCCCACTCTATGATGCTAGGTGTGGGTCAGGTGGGGCGCCAGCCCTGTCTAGTGGCAGAGGGGCTGTGATTAGCTGGAGGTCTCCCTAGCTAACCCATGTAGGGAAATCCATGTATCCATGTAGGGTTCTGTAGGGTTACTGTGTGTGTGTTTGTGTGTGTGTGTGTGTGTGCGCGCGCGCGCGCTTCTTGGTTAGCTTCCCCAAGTGTGCGCATGTGTATGTGTGCTCAGCATGTGTGTGTTTGTTGGTTAGCTTCCCTGTGTCTGGTGTGCACGTGTGTGTTCATGTGTGTGTGTGTCACCAGTCCACAGTGTCTGACCACTTCACTTTTGTCACAGAGCATTATGCTCTGGAGGTCTGTTCTCATTGCCGGTGCTTGTTCACTCGCTGCTCTTGTGACCGTGGGTGAACACACCGT